ACTAACTGAAGATTTCGCCATTATAAGATCCGCTCCTTTGGGCATTGTTTCAGGATATTTGGGTTTCTGGGTAATTGGCCCTTGCCGGGGCTGGAGGCAATCTCCACGGAAAACAGGGCTCATTCGTGGCTTTACCACAAGGCCTGATCACAGGGTAGTGTGTTATGCTGCTCCTAGAGAACCCTTGAAAGTCGTTTGTCGTGAGTTCCCTCCAAGGCACAGTGGACTTCCCTCACCGTGCTGGTGCAGCAGGTATGGTAGCCAGCTCATTAGGGGAATAGAGTCAAAGCTCTGCCCCCTCCCCAACCAATCGCACCCACGTGCATGGGGTGGGGCACTGGAACCCCCCCGAGGCAGCTCTCCTCCCCACACTAGTACCTGTCGTGTGCATAGCCCATACAAGGGGACACCTTGTTAACAGGTTTTGTGTGACAGTGAGTTGGATGAAGATGGGGTAGGTATGGCTTTTCAGTATGTGCTGTAGATGGTGATATGGATGCCTCATGGAGTGTTAACAGCAATGTAAGGTTGACAGGGAATACTGGACACTTTCCTTTTACCATGCTTGGAGCATGTTGTAAGGCAACTTTAACTGCTGAGCCACTGAGTTTGTGTTCACATGCACAATCCACAGATAACACAATAGTGGTGGGCAGGCAACACAGACGTTCTAGGTTTTTCTTCCAGAGATGGGCTATGCTGCCCATCTTCAGTCTATCCATGGGGGGTTTAAAAGTAGTGTCCCAGATACTGAATGACGAGGTGACGTGTGTGTTTCTGGAGATGCCCCCAGGAGTGAACACTGACCCGTTTTGCATGAGTTCTGAGAACACCGAGGCCCTGACTTATGGCACCTGCCCCTTGTCAGACACGAGTTAGTCAGATATACGGAGGATGCTTTGTCAGATGCAGCCGCGTCAGTGGTATGCCCACTGCCAATTCAGTGTCACATACGAACACTGGAGTAAAGGCATCTACTGATCCCCCGTCCCCCCCACTTTCATTCAATAGCCACCTCACTTTCATTTTCACTGCCTCAGGGAAGAGGAAGTGGGATCAGAGTAGTCCCTACTCCCACTCATTCCACTGATTGAGTTGGAGTGATCTCAGCTACATCTGTTCATCAGGTTGAATCAAGAGGCACTGCTTGGGCTGGGTGACAGTGGAGACCAACTAGGGCCCTTTGTTCAGTAAGCCCAACTAGCGGGGGGGGGGGGTAGTAGAAAGAGGAGTGAACTTGCCCCATACCAGAAGGGGCACATTGCAGGGGTGCCTAGTAGCAAGTTGTGCCCTGCATGACCTAGCCAAGCCCCAAGATCGAATACCCCTGGTCAGTCCGTTCCCCACCTCCACCCACACTGCTGCTGCTAAGAGCAGTCTTCTGGTTAAAGATTCCTTAGTTTTTGGACCTTCTTGGCTGCTTTTTCAGACCTTTCATCAACAGTTTCCAAATTGGCCATGGACTTTGGGTGCCTCTGTCCCGCTCTCGAGGCACCTTGGGGGCTGGGTTTTTCAGAAGTGCTGAGGGGCCCCCAACTCCAGTTCATGTCGATGGGAGAGGCAGGTGCTCGGCCCCTTTGATGAGTCAGGCCCATAGGAGCTCAAGCTAGAGAGACACCAAGTGGAGGCATTCAAACTCAGCTGCTCTAGTGCTGAACAATTGTTTTTAAACCCAAAATCTCAATTTTTACTATTTGGATCAAGTGCTGTAGGAAGTTTTGTTTAGTGTTGACTTTATAACAATGCTTCCTAAGAACAGCTTGACTTGTGAGCCTAGATGGACTGTTTGTAATTTGCTAACAGAAAAAAAAATGTCACTGAAGGTGTTACAGACTTATTCAGAGAAACATGGATACACTCTAGCTGTAGTTTTATTGTAACAGAGAGAACAGGCTGCATAAAGGCCTAAATGACTAGACAATGGCAGACGGCTTGCCTAGAAAGGTGAAGATCAGAGCTGGAAGCACACAGCAGCTTAGAACCACAGCACAAAACAGTCATTCCCTAACCAGATGCACACTGAGAATCAGAGCAAAGCGACGGCTTTGGGCAGGTGGCTTCAGTAACTCCCATGCAGGAGGACGTGTACATCACCACTGCCATTAAAGTGCAATCGACTTCTCGTTACTTGAGCCAGGCTAGAATCCTCCTTTACTCCTTGGTATAGCAGTGTCAGCTTACGGTAGACTAGGCTATTCTCAGCTGCTCAGGATGGAACCGCGGTAGGAAGGAACTACAGAAGTGACAACTGACTCTCAATCAGCAAAAAGCCCTCTAGGGACTAAAATAGGAAAGATGCCCACAGACAGTTTATAAGAGAGATGGGGCCACTTAGTCTGGGAGTGAGTGGGAAGAAAAGAACACACATGGGGATCAGAGGGTCTACCTCATGTATGTTCATGTTCAGGCCTCTACCTTCAGCAACGGAGAACTCCATGCTGCCAGATACTACGGAAACACTTCATTGGTGTGTTTGCTTTAAGGCCTGTGGATCTCTTACAACCAATTTCAATTCAAACTGTTCCAGTTAGTTTTTAAATAAGTGAACTGGAGTTTTAGCCATGTAACTCATTCTCAAATCAATGGGAAGCCAGGGGCTTTAAACACAGCTCAAGAGATTTGAATGCAAGGCTGAAAATGCAGCCTCTACCTCTAAAATTGATGGGGGGATGGGGGGGAAGAGAGAGAATGATGGAAACCCAGATGATTGGTTATAAGATGACATACGCTGTGGAAGAAGAGACAAAATGGGGAGGGGCTCAGCCTTAAGCGTTGGCTTCAGCCGACAAACACTGGAAAGCCGGAATGGATCCATATGGGTTCAGTTGCGTGCCGGAGAGTCTAGTCAGGATTAAATATCGAAGTACAGCGGAGTCGCATCATAGGCGCATTTAACTTACACGATTTTAACTATACGCGCTCGGCAAAACAAAACAAAAAAAGAGAAAAATAATTTAAATACTGTACCTGTAGTGCGGGTGATTCCGCCCACCATTCCACTCAATGAGCGTTTGACAATACACGATTTTCGCCTTACGCGCGGACTTCAGAACCTAACCTCCGCGTAAGATGCGACTCCCCTATATTCCACTTCCACTCTGAAGAGTGACTGTGGAAGAAGAGACATCATGGGGTTCCATGTTTATTGATCATTTGCCAAGAGAACTCTGAGTTTACAAGGAGAGAGGTGGTTTTGTTTTTGTTTTTAAATGAGCAGTCCTTCAGACTGGGATCTTTCCTTCCTGCATATGACCATGAGTGCTGACAGTTCTGTTAAGTATACCCTCCTGACGCCTGGGCACAACCCCCTTGCTTTCAGGAGGTTACACAGATATAACTAAGTTTCAAAGCCAGGGCCAATTAGGTCTGTTGATGCACAAGGAATTGAAGCCAGCTCTCAGCTCTGGAGAGATAGCAGGAATTTAAGATACCTAACAGCTAAGGCGGATTGTCACTCTAGTAGCAGGGATAGGAGAGTACACACCACGATCAGGTCAGGCGAAAGAGTGGGCCATTTTTCAGAGCAGAATCTTAGAGTGGGAAGAATCACTCTACTTCTGTGTGAATGGCAGTCGGGGAGGCATGGGAGGGAGAGAATGAAGCAAGCCATGTTTCCAAACAAGATTAAAGTGAGAAATGACAGCCCCAGAGAGGCACTGATCTATCTTACACGCCCTAAGAGCACCACTAGTTTTTCTGAACAGAGATGAGATTCCTGATTAGAAAGAATTGTACAGGCTTTGATATCAGGAGTTCCCTAAAGCTTTTCAGTTTTACTTGTTCAGAAGCAAATTCAGACCCTCTGTGTCCTTTCTACAATTGTTAAAGACAAAATCAACCACAAAAGTGGCATTCAGAGGCTTAGATTGCAACTGTGTAATAAGTATCCCTCATGCATGTGCTCTCTGAAAAGTGCTCTCTCCTTGCGTGCTTCTACTGCTGTAAAGGTGGTAGAGGCAATCATCTGTAGCATTCTGACAGGTAAGGAAGAAGCAACCTTAAAATACATTGGTGATGCAAGTCCACACAGCAGAGGGTTAGTTATTTAGGATCTCAAGCTGGTTTTCTAGGTCATTTGATCAAAAGCTGTTTTTCAAGCAAGACCTGTAGGCCACGTTCGCTCCCCCTACACCTACCAATCTGGAGGAGTAGCATGGGCGGTGGGTATAATAGGCCAGGGGAGGCTCAACCTCCCCTAGTGCAACTGCTGCCGTCAGACCCTGGTTGCGGGTTTCGTGGTGGAAATTTGTGCTTATTATTATGCTCCACGCAGGTTCCGGGGCGGCTGAGGAGATGGTATGTGCTACTCAGCTTCCTGGGTTCCTTAGTAATCTCCCTGAACTCCAAGGAGAATCCTGATGAAGCTGGGAAGCTGAATAATACATACTGCCTCCTCAGTGGCCCCACAGCCTGCATGGCGCATATCAAAAGCTCAGGTTCTCCTTCCAGAAGAGAAGAGCTTTTGAATTTTCCTGCGGGGCGGCTTGGACTCTGCGGAGGGGAGGCGCAGCTGCAATGGCTCAGGTGTAGGGGCACAAACTGCACTACACCCATCAGCCCGGGTCTCCTCCAAGCAGGTCGGGTGGGGGGCTCAGGGCTCTGGCCACGGAGGGGGGAGCGGAAGGGGCAGAGCCAGGGACTAGCCTCCCTGAACTGGGGCTCCACCCGCCGCCCATGAGGAGCAGACTCCCAAAACCTTCATTTATGTACAGCGTTTTCAGCTTCAGTGGCCCTCCTCGAATGACGTGAGTAAAGCAAGCGGACATGGTGTACAACTAGACAGTAGAGCTGTACTGGCTCCCACAACTCCAGCTGTTGCTCTACCCCCACCAGTGTATAAGGACAGGTTTCCCTGTTGACATGAATGCAGTGATGCGTTACTTGATCTCCTTTCAGAGTGGGAGGACGGGGTCTTGATCCTGTTCCAGCTCATTTAAAACCAGTAACTGAACTTGTTATGAAGCCTTCTCCCCTCCCAAGTAAGGGATGGGCACAGACGCCACTCAGCGCCCAGTGCTCTTGGTCAGCGTTCTATCATTCTACATGCAGTAGTTCTGCCAAGACGTTTAAAGCCTGACGGGTGCCTGTGTCGGGGAGAGGGTGCATAACGCGAGAAGCTGCTTCTGAAGAGAGCAGCAGGAAGCAGACACATCCCTGTCGGAGAGGGCAGGTGGCTTTGGCTACGATGTCTTGATGCCGCTAGTTGCGGCCTTGTACACGAAATACATTAAATGACAGAGTCAAGTGCTGTGGTTGAAAGTAAATATTCTGCTTGCCCCAACCCCCCAAATGCACTTCCCCTTCCTCTTGATTCAGAAAGTCCAAAGACCGTTGAAGGGAAGGCCGTCTGCTCCACCGTGTTTACTTGCTGACTTGGTGTATTGCATGAGCTAGGTAACCCACGTTACCAGATGTGACCCCTGCCACAGAAATCCGGCCATCTTTTGTCATGTATATGGAGAACTCTTTGGTTAGTTGCTCCACCTGAGGGGAAACAAAAAAAAACAAACAAAAAAGTTCTTCGTTCCAGGGGGTCCAAACTTCACCTGACTGAAGGGCTGCTTTGGCAGCTTGCCAGGGCCTCAAGTCACAACCAGTTTGCCTAAAATGAAGGTGTAGCCCACGGAGACTGAATCCCAGCATGCAGTGCTCCATCCTGATTCTAGCAGTAGATAGGTAGAGACTCAGCAGTGCATGCTGGGAATTGTAGTTTATATGAGAGAAGGTGGCTTCCCCATCTCATATCGCAGATCTCGGAGCTGCACTTGGCCTGCAGACTGCTCTTTGGCCAGCCCTGAAGCCCACTCACTAGCACTGTGGCACATAAAAGCACTAAAATGCTCAGCCAAGACAGTCACATGACTTCAGCAGCACTTGAATGCCATCTTTTAAAGAGCAACACGATTGTTCCATTTTACAGCTGAGAGAGGAGCCAGAGCACAGCTCCAAAGCCCTGCTCCAGCTCCAGGCAAAACCTGCAGCTCCACTGCTCCAGAGCTGCTCCGCGCTCCAGCTCTGGGCTCCGCTCCAAAGCCCTGGCTGAGAGAGCTAGTTTAGCTTTTAATCACTACCACTGAAGGGTGTCATGCAAGCACTAGAACATTTTGACTACAGACTTTGGGGAAGAACAGGGAAGAAGGACAGTCCTCTTTTCATGAGGACCTCTCATGTCAGTAAGATATGTTTTAGCCCATCCAAGGTTTCCGTATGCCAAAGAAAATGGCAAAGACTCTTAAAAATGAACATTGAAGATCTAGAGACAGCAAGGAGTTTGAGAGATGTTAATAGGCTAACAGTGCCTGAAAAGTTAGCGTCTCCTGACTGATCTGCCAGTCTCTAAGGGCACGTCTACACTTAAAATGCTGCACTGGTACAGCTGTGCCGCTGGAGTGCTTTAAAGACGACACTCTATGCTGATGGGAGAACGCTCTCCTGTCAGCGTAGTTAATCCACCTCCTCGAGAGGCAGTAGCTGGGTCAGAGGGAGAAGCTGTCTGCACAGGGGGTTAGGCTGGTATAACTAGAGCCCTGAGCAGCTACAAAATTTGTACCTGCAACTGATCTGCAAACATGGTCCGCAGATATCCAGAGTTGCAGGGCTCTAGGTATAACTACGTCGCTCAGCAGCATGGATTTTTCACACCCTGAGTGATGTAGTTAGGTCTGGTCTGCACTACAGACCTATATTGGTATAAGTCCAAGATACTCACTCACACATCCTTTGCCCCTCATCAGCAGGATTCAGAGCGTTTTCCAAATTTCTAACAGGAAGCTGAACCCTGAACTCAGGATCTGGCAGGCAGCTCAATTGAAAACCATGTTTGTAAACTATTTAAGTTATCAATAGTCTAGCATTCTGGACCACGGGCATGCACAAATAGATGTGCTCGCCTACTCTGTGGGCACCTTTACATCTACATGTTTATATTCCAGCAGTGACTTCGTTTCACTTTCATTTTTAATCATTGTAGTTCAGCAGTTCTCAAAAACTTTTGTACTGGTGACCCCTTTCACATAGCAAGCCTCTGAGTGCAACCCCCCTTATAAATTAAAAACACTTTTTTATATATTTAATACCATTATAAATGCTGAAGGCAAAGCGGGGTTTGTGGTGGAGGCTGACAGCTCGCAACCCCCCCATGTAATAACCTCACGACCCTCTAAAGGGTCCCGACCCCCAGTTTGAGAACCCCTGCTGTAGCTGTTTTTTAGATAGTCGCATTAGACAACAGAGCCCTGCTCTGAGAACATGGCAAGAGGGAGCTTACTGAGCTTAGGGATGGCCTCTGTTTACTAGGCCCTGCCACAGCACAGGGGGGTTGGACTTGATGACTTTGAGGTCCCTTCCAGCCAGACATTTCTAGGTTTCTATGGTTTTGCCTCAAACCTCTGCATCTCATGTGAAATCTCGTGTTACTGGAACAGGTGGCTCATCATGGTACCTTTATGACAGTAGGCTAGTCTGAAGGGATAGACGATAGTTGCAAAAGGGGGTATCCTAGATAGCTAGGAGGCTAAGACTAATGTTGAGTGCACACAAGATTCTCTATGTCTGCACAAGGGAGGAGGAAGCTTTTTTGTAAGGAATGAAGTTCCTCAGCTCCGCCAGTGTCTTAACTGGCTTCATATTCGTGACTTCCCATTTGGAAATACAGCCATGAGTGACATGGGCTTAAACTGCAGCAAGGGTGGTTTAGGTTGGACATTAGGAAAAACTTCCTGTCAGGGTGGTTAAGCACTGGAATAAATTGCCCAGGGAGGTTGTGGAATCTCCATCATTGGAGATTTTTTAGAGCAGGTTAGACAAACACCTGTCAGGGATGGTCTAGATAAAACTCAGTCCTTCCTTGAGTGCAGTGGACTGGACTAGATGACCTCTCGAGGTCCCTTCCAGTCCTACCCTTCTATGATAATTCTATGTTTTCCCTAGTGCAGCCACTAGCAACCCAGAAGGGACCATTTTCTTTTTCAATGAGAGAACAAGCTGCTCCTTCAAGACAATGCACTGAGCAGACCAGCATGGAGCCAGCAGGAGTCTCACGCACACAAAGCAATCCAACAGGACTGGAATTTCTCCTGCGAACTGCCTTAGGGCAACCTGCTTAGGTCCCACTGGGATTCCCCCAAGGAGTCAGGTACATCTCAGTTTAATTTAACACTGACCTCAGACATATTTGGAAAGAAAAAGCCAATGCTAAAGTGGGAGATTATTTCGTCATCAGCTCCCCACCTTCCCAAGAACAGCATGTGTTCCATGAGCCCAGCCTGATGGACGCTGCCATGGATATCCATGTGCTTCCTGTTCCCCCCAGTCCAGGGGAATTGTTTTCCAGGCAGATTGGGGAGAATCGCACTCACCTGCTCAGGTTTCAGCCCCGTGTAACAGAACATGCCGATCTGGTCGGTGATGTGTTGCCAGTTGTGGGAGGAGCCTTCTTTCTTGAGGTTGGCCACCAGCTGGTTGCGCATGTCAATGATCCGGTCAGCCATCCCCTTCACCTCTTCCAGCCTGCAGGAGGAGCAACAGAAAGGAGATGCCTGGACATCAGATTCAGACAACCGTGAGGCAGGATAACAACAGAGACTAGCATGCAGTCGGCTACCCACGGAAACACCTCTACAGCTTCCCTCTTCACAATTCACACTGGGCACCAACCTGCAATGCCAAAGTGAAGTTACGCACTGCTGCTTTAAACTGGTCGCACACACATTCAGTTGAGAGTGCTACAGGCAAAAGATCATTTTGGTGGCTTCAGTTAAAGAGGCAGAGCAAGCCTAGTGTTTCAGTTCCATGTGGGAAGCTGAGTCCACGCTGCTTTAGGAGCTGCCTCTCTCTCCT